TCCTTGGAAAAGGAAGTTTTGGAAAGGTAAAATAATGAGCCAGTCTTTAACTTTACTTTCTACTATTGGGTTCTACTTTGAACAGGTAATGTTATGTGAATTGAAAGCAACTGGTGAGGTATTTGCTATTAAAATATTGAACAAAGATGCTATTATTCAAAACGATGATGTGGAATGTACAATGACAGAAAGACGTATATTAGCATTATCAGCAAGACATCCATTTTTAACCGCATTGTTTTGCAGTTTTCAAACAAAGGTAATTTAATTTCATCTATTAATTGTGAAATATATATTAAACATCTTGGTCTTTAGGAGCGTATGTTTCTTGTTATGGAATATGTAAACGGTAAGTCATTTATTTTGCATACAGAACAAAAATCAAACTACTTTTTTGTTGTAAAGGTGGTGATTTAATGTTTCAAATTCAACGTTCAAGAAAATTTGATGAAGCACGTGCAAGATTTTACGCTGCTGAGGTGATATTAGCACTTATGTTTTTACATCGACATGGTGTCATTTATCGGTAAACGTCTTATATTATCTTTATAAAAAGTGCATTTTCATCTAATTCGTTATTATTTAGTGATTTGAAATTGGATAACATTCTTCTCGATGCCGAAGGTCACTGTAAAATAGCAGAGTAAGTTCTAGAATTTAAAAGTTAAATGTTACAAATTAAACGTTCGTTGTGGATGTTGTTCCTTTATTGTCGCTTAAAAAAAAGAATGGATCCGGATGTTTTTTGAATAATATTGGCAGAAAAATGGTAAAGACTTGTGATCTTCACCAATTGAAAACAAAGACTTGACCGTATCTTTTCACTATGAAAGTCATTCTGAAAGTATTTTTTTTGCATGGCAGGTAGTTCAAAGTGCGCCCTTCAAAATGGGAGTTAAGTTAAACCTTGACTTTCCACGGTCCGGTCGTGGTATCGGATTCTACTAGAGTCCCAGGACTGGCATTCGATGACTAAGGCGGATAACCTTTAAATCACATGGAACATCAGTAATTGACCACGCCGAATCTCGTGACAATATTCGTTTTTAGAAAAGAGTTCCAAAATCTGGTAAAATCCAGGTTTTACGTACGAAAACTAGGGTTTCCAGGTTGTTTTCACCTAATATTAAAAAATTTACAATTCACTCGGAAACACTACAACGAGGTCAAAGCTTTAGAATGTAGAGTATTTTTGCTATTTTATGTCGTATTTATAAGAAATAGAGAAAAACAATTTACAAAAACCATATGGTTTTCCTAACGGATTTCTATTATATTGATATCTTGTGATTTTTTAACGTTTTGAATAAAATATATTATATGTAAAATAATTGAAAAGAATTTTAGTAAAATCATTTTACATTCAAAGGTGAGCTTTTGACACTATCACAGTATCATCATCAGGCGAATGACTATTGAAATTTGTTTGGAAAAGTTTGGTTTTTGATTTTTTCAATGGGAGTAGTTACGTTTGCAGGAGAATTTAGCCATACACTGAAGTTTTGATCTCGCTGTAGTGTTTCCGAGTGAATTGTAAATTTTTTAATATTAGGTGAAAACAACCTGGAAACCCTAGTTTTCGTAAAACCTGGATTTTACCAGATTTTGGAACTCTTTTCTGAAAACGAATATTGTCACGAGATTCGGCGTGGTCAATTATTTATGTTCTATATGCTTTAAAAGTTATCCCTAGTCATCGAATGCCAGTCCTGGGACTCCAGTGGAATTCGATACTACGATCGAACCGTGAAAAGTCAAGGTTTAACTTAACTCCATTCTGAACAGGACACTTTGCTTTTTTCTTTTACAGACAATACCAAGATGAAATTAGTGGTTGAAGTCTTTAATGCAGGATTTTAGACTGTATGATGCTTTAGCATGTTGATTAAGATCCGTTTTGTTTCTATGTAGTTTTGGAATGTGTAAAGAAGGTATATTTGATGGAAAATTAACGTCAACATTTTGTGGCACACCTGATTACATTGCACCAGAAATCTTACAAGAACTTGATTATTCATTTTCCGTTGACTGGTGGGCGCTTGGTAAGTAAAACTGTTGTTGTTTATTTAGAAGAGAAAAATGTCGTAACTTCTCTACTTTAAAATAGGTGTACTTATGTATGAAATGATGGCTGGTCAACCACCATTTGAAGCTGATGATGAAGACAGTTTATTTGAATCGATATTACGTGATGAGGTACTTTATCCTGTTTGGTTATCAAAAGAAGCTGTCCATATTCTCAAATCGGTACGTTAGTGGAAGAATGATTCTGTTGAAAAAAGCTATAGTTTTGATATTTTTTTATTTCTTTTCACTATAGTTTATGACGAAAAATCCAGCAAAACGATTAGGTTGTGTTGCTGCGCAAGGTGGTGAAGATGCTATCAAACGTCATGCATTTTTTTCGGGAAAAATTGATTGGGAAGCGCTGGAACAACGTCAGGTTAAGCCACCATTTAAACCAAAAGTGGTATGTAATTTTTTAGTTTGAACTACATCAACAGAAACTTTCAAATGTTTACTCTTTGTTGTAGCGTGATCCTCGAGATGTGAGCAATTTTGATAAAGATTTTACAAATATGGTTGTTACATTCACACCAATTGAAGCGGTCATTGTTAAAGCAATTAATCAAGATGAATTTAAAGATTTTTCATTTATCAATACAAATTGGCGTTGTTTAGAGCGTGGTGAAGTACCTGAAGATGATCATAATGATGGTCGCCTAGCCGTTCGTGATTTTGGTGTTGATCTACGACAGCCATTGCCAATGACACCAATTCTTCCGCATCAAGGAGGAGACATCGCGTCAACAATGACCGTTGTTAATACAAACCATATGCCAATTCCACATATAACTTCGACTAGTACTGCTTCTAGTAATAGTAATGATCATGTTATAACATCGACAGGTTTTCGTGCTCCAACGCCGACACCATTTTCAATGATCAATTCTTCACAGAATCCAACATCACAGCAAATACATTCATCAAGTATAAGCAATTATTCTTCAACACCAGCCACAGCTCCTGTAACAGCACATATTCATCACACAATTTCCTCTTCTTCATTGCCACCAACGCAAATTAACATGAACACAACAAGTACAAACAACAATAATGATAAAACATTAGTAAATTCATCAAATAAAAATGAAAAATTATCAAACAAACAACCGGATAAATCACCATCAATTGGACGACATCTTATTAATTCAAAAACTGATCAAACAAACATGTAAACAGATTTTCGCCAAAATTAACAAAATACGAACTCAATTACATCAAACCAAAAAAATAGCGTTTTGTACTGCCAGACAGCAATATTCACAATGTTCTCGCAAGTCATCAAATACTCAGATCTATCTTTATTTTGTGTTTCGCTCACTCTTTCTTCGTTGCTTTCCCTATATTGACAAATACACTCACATATCACTGACGTATTACACTCACCTACATACCTAAGTGCAAAATAAAAACATTTATTTTTGTTGTCTCTTAGTGTTGTTTAAACCACCTCATATAAAAATAATATCGTGTGTCTATCTGAATGTTTATAAACTTTTTGTTTCGGCAAGTGATTCATTATTTTCTTCTACAATATTCTGACTCTAGTCATACGCGTATTTTGTTTTTTTTTTTGCTTTTATTTTTAAAACAGTATTCGTTTATTTGTTCTTTTGTTTTTTATTAACAATTTGCAAGTCATTCACTATTTTTATATTTATATTCTCCACTAGGATAGGACTCTCTTTTTTTCTCTCTTCAACGACACTCGTATATTCTTTTGTCGTATTCCTAAATCGAGTTATCTTAAAAGAGAGAAAACAATAACAGTATCCTAAAAATAAAGAAACCGGTTATCTATCATTTTTTTCAACTATTTAACAGTGTGCTGGTGTTGTCATCTTTTAATTACTCATCACCACTGAAAAAAATGATTATTTTTATTTGTTCTGATATGGTTTAGATTTTTGTTTTGTTTCCTTTATAAAAGCTCAATGATGAATAGCTTCTTAGAAAATCGTTGCAGATGAATTATATGCGGTATGACAGCCAACCGTGAGAATAAAAAAAGTGCAATCATAAAATTATGAACGATACTGTTTATTTTTTTTTTTCAATAGCTTCACGGCTTTAAATACTAGATACTTAACAAATATGTTTTTTTATTTCTATCGTTATTATTCGATGTTCTTGTTTGTCATTTTCTTCACAATGTTATTTGAGAATGTTTGCTTTGTTTGCTCGAATTCTTGCACATTCAATTTTCTGTATCGTTTCTCTTTTCTTTTGCGCATAATAGATGTATAATAATTAATTTTTTTTCAATTCATCCATTAAGTCGATCTTGCAATATAAATATATTTTTTGCTGTCAAATTCTTGCGATATTTCTTCAATGGAAAAAAACATGCTGTTGTTTTTTGTGTTGTTCTTGTTGTTTCATTTATTTTTTAACGTACACGCTATTTAAATTGAGTTTGTATACACATTTTCCTCATTACATATATATATTCTTTTTTTTTTGTTTAAGTATTATTCTGCTCGGCTCTTTTTCTTTTTTTATATTCATGAACACTATTTTACTGTTTTATAGAGAATAAATTATTATAAATGTCGCAATCAAAGATTAGATTAACAATAATATCCGAGTCTGATGAATGACAGAGAAAAAAAACAGTCAGGCCTATTTTGAGTATTATCATATTTGAAACGATCTATTTTAACAGTTCACAAGGTAAGCGTGACATCGAATTTTAACATAATATAATGACAAACAAGTTAACAAGGCGTAATACACTTGTCACTGATGTATTATCTGACAAATTAATTTAGAGTATTTGACATTTATCTTTTTTCCGTTTCAAATACTTTTAAAATGTACACGCTGGTATTCTATTTAATCAGCAGCAATTATATAGTGACTAAAATTTCCTTATCACTGTGTACGATTCAATGACATATGTTAGGGTTCTTGTTTTGTCTTTTACATTTCAGATCATGTCGTCACAACGTAAATTAGATCAGTTTTTTATTAAAAAAAAATTAATTCAGAGTACGGAAATAGTGACAACAACAATTGAAAAAGATGAAAGTAATTCTGGTTGTTCTGAATCATTATTATCTGGTAAGCGTTCAAATGAAATTGAAAATGACAATGTACCTATTAAACGCACACGAATTGGAAGTGAACAAGAAGAGGTTAGTAATGATACAATGGATATGTCACAAATTATTAACAGTTATAAACCTCTCAATGAATTTTATTTGGAAAAATTTCTGATAATTTTGACGTCAGTTCAAAAACATCATCGTCAGTTGTTCAATGAAACTGAACTTGAGTTATTTACAAAACTTGAATTATTACCAGGTAATAGTTTATAGTTCTTCTCTGACTGATTGTAACAACAAATTCTGTTTTTTAGCATCGTCACAAATTATTTTCATTCGATTATTAATGAGACGTTGTAAATGGATACGATTATCGGGTATTAAATATGAACGATCTTCATCAGATGATCCAACTGTGAATTATTTGACACCTTTAGTTGAAAATAATTTACTTTCTGATAGTAAGTCAAAAATGTCAAAAATTTGCTCTTATAATCCTCTCCGTTATTAAATGTTAAGGTACAAGTTTTAATAATCTAGAAGATGGTTTAAATTTATTGACATCAAATGAAATGAAAGAATTTTCTAAACGATTTCATTGTTCATCCAAAACAAAATCGAAAAAATCATCGATAGAAAATTTAAAAAATTTAACAAATCAATATAAAAGTTTATTTTCAAATGGTGATACACAGTCGACAAATCGTGATCATTTACTATTAAAAGAGTTAAGTGATAGTGTACGTAAGTGGTATAGTTCGAACAATTGACAAACAATAATGATGTTTATTTGTTATCTTTTTAGACTTAAACGAGTGATTGGTCAATGTTATAAAGTGTCAGAAGATGTTCGTGCAATATTTTTTCGAATGATGTTAGCTCATCATCCGTGTGCTCTTCTCTCAATGGATGAATTAGATCAAAATGCATTTACACTATTGTATGTATGTGTGAGTGATAAAAGTATTAACTAAATTTTATATTAATCATTTTATCATTTGTAGATTTAAATCATTACAAATAACTCGTGGAGATTTACGTTTACCTTGGAGAGATGAGGATGTGAATCATGACTATTCACCATTTAAAACTACTGAACAATTGAAACGGTAGATTTGTAAAGTGAAATTACTGTTAATTTATTATTTTGTCTAATTTTAGTTATCAAGAAGCAATTGATCTTGAAATTGAGTTTATGAGATTAGAAGAATCTAAAAATGTTAATGCTCTATTAGATTTTTATGATGAAAATAAATTAGAGATGAAAAAAACAATTAGTGCACAAATGGAAAGGTAAAAATTATAAAGATTAAGAATAAAACGTATTTCTTCTTCTTCTTCTATGTAGTGATCGTCAGTTACTAAGCTATTATCGTCGATTTTCATCGGAATATGTCCATACAAGAATATTAGCACATATAACAGAGAATTTACAGCGTGCACGTCGATATGATGAATGTGTGGAATTACTTAAATTTCTATTAGGTAAATAATAAAGATTACTCTCATGTATGTCTCGGTAGTTGCCTAAAAAAGATCTGATAAAAATCCGATACAGCTTTGGATATCTATATATAGTACTTTAGAATTATGACTAAATACGTTTAAACTCTTTTTATTTTTTTTCGATACAAGTTTAGACTAGATAAAAGATTCGATTCATTTCGAGCCTTTAGAAAGATCTAAAATTTAGTTATAGTGTAGAGATATAAAAGCTTAGAAGTTTTATTTACCACTTAGATCAAACTGTTTATGGATGTAGCGGTCGTGGAAAATTATGGAATCGTTTAGCTTTAATAGAAGAGAATTATATAAAAGATATTCAAAAGTGTTTGGATACGATTGGTCGAGCAATCAATGATCCATTCGTTAAACTTGGTGATCGTTTGTCGTTATGTGATCGAGCAAGAAAGTTATTAGTGAAACCAAAAATCAAATATTCGTTATCGTGGACGAATGAACAACTATTAGTCGTGTCTAGTCCAAAAGAAGTAATGTATAGAACTCCTGTTTTTATTCATTTCTAGTAGAAATTCTATTCAATAGATCCAAGTTACCGGTCGACTATTGGCCAATGATAGTCTTCAACGAAAAGTCACATTTGTCATCCATGATCCAAAAGATGGTTCTAACCAATTTTGTAGTGTTGAACAACTGGCTATTCACCATTATCAAACACAAGAAGGATTTATATATGGTTTGTTTACGTTTATTTAGTATCGTTTCAAAGTGAATTATTTTTATTGTATTTTTGACAGGTATTCATTCAGAAGGCTCTGTCATACGAACATTGATTGACATTTTATTTTTGGATATTATATTTACAATTCCTTTGCCTCATCTGCTTATCGATTTACTTCAAACTGAACCACTTGATTTTGATTCGAATGATTTTTATACTAATAGACAAAATGAAATCGATCAACGATTAAATGACATGAAATCTGAAGAGGTTTGTGGGTTTCTATTATTCCAGAAAGAAATTACTATCACTCCGTTCCTGCGAGATGGTGACCATTGTAGAAACCAGAGAAATGTGGAGTTGATTTCATTTTCTATGGAGTATGACTGGTGATTCATGCTGTATCTATATGTTGTGAAGCCAAAATAAGTAAACTCTATGCCTCTAGGCTATCCAAGAGATTGCTGATAAAAACTGGATATCGTATAATGGTACAATGACATGTGCTGTTAGTTGGGATCTATTTCAAATAAAAGAAAATCTGCTCAACGCCTTGAAATGTCTACAACCTGCACAAATACAATTATTGGCCAGATATCTGTTTGAATATAATCGTTCAGCACGAAAGGGTTTTCCGGATTTATTTGTTTGGAATCCAAATACAAAAAAATGTAAAGTAAGTAACAATTTCGTCCAATTTTAATTGCTATAGCATTTGTTGACTGTTCCGGTCGCTATTTGTTATAGTTTGCTGAAGTGAAAAGTCCTAAAGATCGTCTATCGTTTCATCAACTTGTTTGGCTAGATACGCTCGACAAATTTGGACTTAGTTGCGAAGTTTGTAAAGTTGGTGGTAAGTATATAACTTAAAAAAAAACTAAACTGTGCGTTGCAAATCACATTGATCTTCTTTTGTTTTATAAGCCACTGGTTCCAAGCAGTTACAGCGAGCATCGTCTACGATCGAATTAGACTGACCCTGTGCTTATTGTATCTAAATTTTGTACACTATTTGTCTACTTTTTTCTCGTTATGTGTCACTTACTTTTTCAATACTTTTTCTTTGTGATAATTAGCTTTTTTTAATAGAAATAATAAAATGATAGATAAATGAAATATTGTTCTACCTTAATAAATTTTTTTTATAACAGCTTTTCAGTTACAGAAAAGGTCAAAACTGAGAAACTTGAACAGATACTAACTACGTGTGCAATCCTCAAGACTGCTTTTCTATAATTTTTTTGACTAACGAGGACACAAAACTGAGCTCTGGAAGGTTTCCCGAAAACACGTCAACGTTTTGTCTCAAATATATCAGAAAATAGCTTAAATTGATATCACCATTATCATTATCATTCAGTTATCGTCTTGAAATTTTTTTTTTAATATAAACTTTATTAAAAATAATAATACAAGTAAGAACATAGCCGAGCTATTGCTCATTATAACATTCTTACTTGGTGACAAAGTGTTGAATGATGAACTAAATTCTTCAAGAATGAAAACAGAAATAATCAGCAAGTGAATGTAGTTGATTGCCTGGCGCCATTTTTTTTGTTGTTGACAGAATTGAAAAATGAATTTGAGCACATCTCTCCTGTTTAGTGAATTTTTTTTACATACATGCATCTAATAAAAGATATACTAATTTCTTTTCTCTTTTAAATAATAATTAAAACTTTATTACTACTAGAAATCATCAAAAAGAATAAAGTTTTTGTTCAACTTTTTAATGATCTCGCTGTCTCTGTAAATATAACCAGTGTCTGTTGACATCGGAACTTGTGCGCAGCACAATTGCATTTTTTTCTTATTTAGTCACTTGTTTTCGAAAAATGCGCATCGCGTGATCTAGCGAACTGCGATACGTCGGAAATTCTGAAAACTGGAGCACAGCCTCTGGATACTGCAGATTGACAACTGCACGGTCTTTTTTCAAACGAAAGTGCAGATTCGGCGCCATAAGCTACACAAGCAGAAGTCAAATGTTTTTTGGATTTAGAAACTTTTCGTACATTTATAACAGTTGATTGTCCGGCGCCTTTTGTCCTTGAGACGAAATATAATTCTCTCTCTTTTTCAGTGTTTAAAACTGCAACTGGAACTGTTAGTAACTGTTGCAAAAACATTTTGAAATGAATTCAAAAGAAATTTTAAATTCTATTAAAAAAAATGCCGTTGAAAACTAAAAAGTATTTTAATAGGAACGCTTTTTGGAGGTGGAATTTATGGACTATAAGTAATCGCTTATGGAACTCATAAAGAGACTGCTCCTGTCATTCATATAACTCACTGACAATCTCTATGAAAGTATAGCTTCACTTAGAGATGCGTAAAAAGTTCAAAAACCAGTGGAAATTCATAAGGCTTCATAGAGATTATCAGTGAGTTATATGAATCACAGGAGCCGTCCCTTTATGACTTCCATAATCGACTACCTATACACTGTAAAGTCGAGAATTATTTATAGAAAATCAATTTTGATTTTCAAGGCAGTTAGAAAATCGACATCGATTTTCTACATTGTTGGGAATTATTTATAGAAAATCCTCAGGGATTTAATATATGGACTTTTCGAAAATCAAAAAGTCGGATTATTTCCTACTTTCTCGAAAATCCGCAGCGATTTTCTAGATAATAAGGAAGAACAATTTGAATGAAAATGCTGATAATCAGAGAGACTTGCAAAGTGAAAATGACTGAAGATAAACTTTTCACCATTATTAAAAGCTATTGAACTTGAAATATAGCTGGTTATGGGTAATCGACGATGCTGATTTGAAACCGCTTTTTCTGCATTTATCTCTTCTTCTTCTACCGGCGTGTACTTAGTTGCAGTTTCAGCGTTAGCTTTGGCAGCCGTGTATCGTTTTATTCAACTTGCTAACTTTATCATAACGTTAGTACGGTCTCAAAACCTGACAAAGAAACTTAGAACTATTACTTATCATAGGATAAAATATGAAAAATATTTTTCAACTCTTTCTTTTTATACATGATTTTCCTTCAGCACGTACACAAATACATTTATGCGTCATAACATATTTTCACATTTAAAAGAAAATAACAAATAGATAATATTAAAAATATATCTTCCCTTATGAACTATGAATTTGCCAACCATGGTTCGAAACCAACAACTGGAAAGGGTACTGGCGTACTGACTAACTCATAAGAAAATTTTTTTTACCATAATACTATAACATAAAAGACAGAAAGTATTGAAAACTTATTCGCATATGCTTCCATAGGCTATTACATATGCGGCACATGTCTCTGCACATATCGATCGAATAAAGTAGAGTCGACAATTCATAGAAAATGTAACTTTTATAAGGATAAAAAGTATAAATTTCACTAAAAACAAGAGAAAATTAGAAATAACCTCAAGGACGGTCTCTGCAAGCCGTCTGAAAACCCTTTCCCCGCTGTTTCAGACACTGATACCACTGTAACTTGAAAGAGCGTACTCCAAAGTATATAAATCAGTCGAAAACCAAAAATCGAGTTTTTTGACCAAAAAGAGGGGGGTACCCTTAACCAGGCAACCCAAGAATCTTTTCCGTACCTCTCTGTGATCTCCAAGTGTCATACGGCAACAATACTTCTCGAAGAATATGCTGATTTGCAAAAACTGAGAGAACTTTCCGAAGCTACCAACATTTTCGATGTTAAATACTAGAACGAGCAGAGATCTGTTACACGACAACTTGTTGCACTGTATAGGCTTTAATAGATGTGAAAGAAGCAAGAAAAAAATCACTGAGTCATCTTCTTAGAAAATCGAAATCGATTTTCTAGAATCTGGAAAATCGAATCGATTTTCCACAATGTTGGAAATGATTTATAGAAAATCGATCGATTTTCTAAAAATTAGAAAATCGCTATCGGTTTTCCAACTTTTTAGAAATTCTTTATCAATTTTCTGGCAAATGAGAAAAGTCAGTTTATAGAAAATCAACATTTTCTAAACAGTCAGAAAATCGCTGAGGATTTTATAAAAGTTGGAAAAAAAAATGGCGATTTTTCAGATCGATTTTCTATAAAGTAGAAAATAATTCCAAATTACAGTGTAGTCCATAAATTCCAGCTTCAAAAAGCGTTCCTATTAAAAGACTTTTTAGTTTTTAACGGCATTATTTTAAATAGAATTTAAAAATTCTTTTGAATTCATTTCAAAATGTTTTAGCAACGATTCCTGACAGTTCCAGTTCTAAAAAAACTGACTATTGGACATTCTTTTTCCAAATTTCACGTTGGAACGGCCGCCACGGTTTTAAAAGTGAAAGAAAATTGACTTTGAATTTAGAAAGTTTCATATATTTATTAATAGCTTGTTGTCCGGCTCCATTTGTTCTTCAGAGGAAAAAATTTTCTTTCTCTCTCTCTCTCTCTTTCTCTCTTCTACAAATTTCGTTTACAGTTTTCTGTTGAAAATAAAGTTCGATGTTAGAATAGTTTGTTTGTTTCTTCTATTGTTTTTTTTATGATGTGTCTTTCTGAACTTGTTCGTGTGTTTTGTCATTTGCCCAAAAAGCAATGAAATAAGTGTCATTCTTTTCTTTTAAGGATCAATAGTGCATGTTTTGCTCAAAAATAGAAGTCAACATCTTCGCTTTTTTAACCCTGCAAAAAAAGTTTTGTTCGTATGCTTTTCTTTTTCCTTTTCTGCTTCATTATAATAGTTGTAAGATGATGAATACGAGAAAATATGGCGTCTCTTATATACGCACTACATGGTGGTCATCCTGGCACTCGCAGTAACAACAGATTTCCAGATATATTTTGCATTTAGATGTTCAAGATATGTGGCGTTTGATGGTGCGATAGAAACGGTACCAACCCGCTTGTCCTTCGATATGATCAAATGGCTTGACAATATCATCGTCTGCAGGTATATTACAAACGAGTAATATTAGAGTTGACATAAGACCAATTTATATTACTGGTGCACACTGCGAAAAAAAACTGCCCTTTCGTGGCATGAAAGGGCACTAACGAGGGAAGGCTCCCAACTGCCCAGAAGCTTTTGGCCCAAAACTTAGTGGACAATAGGTAATCGAGTGTCCTGATTCCGAATATTACATTGGTTTGGGCCCAGTTTTAGTTTGAAGACCCGGTTTTGAAATACTGGGTTTTGGGGTCGAAAAACCATTTGCAATAAAAAAAGGAGAGGGGGCGATAACTGATGAAATCGGTCCATTCGAGAAATCTCGTTTCTTGTATGTCAAACTATCACAAAAGGTGTCCAAAAGTGATCTCTGGTAGAATTACTCCAAATGCACTTGTTTGAGCTGCGCACAGGCCGCTTGAAATAGTTAATAGCTGTCACATACATAAAGTTTGACTGTTGATGATAAGCAGCTCTTTTTCTCTACCAATCCGATGACTGACCAGACTAGTTTGCATAGGGTTCGATAGAGCTTTCCAAGCGCTACAAAATGGTATATAAACATCCAAGAAAAAATATTGGCCGGTATGACTTCACATGGACAATATTGTCCTCATATTTCTATAACACTGATATTGTTCACTGGAATCGTGTGTCAACGTGTACCAATGTGTTCACCCGCCAAGTTAGTTTGCATATCGTTCGATAGAGCTTTCGGAAAGTTAGAAAAGCATAGGTACCAATCTGCTCACCCGCCAACGAAATATATGAAGGACGTACTGATTTGAAATTCAAAGATACGTAATCATTACATATCAGACAGGACAGGGGTATCCTACTCATAGAAAGGAAATAAAAGGAAAAGAGTAGATGTTTGTCTGGAAATATATTCGTCGGGCCGGGAGTGACATGTGTTCAAAAGAAATATCGTGCTTGTAAATACAAGACGCATTCATTTTATTGTTTTTTTACTGTTGTTCAGTTAGTGACGGACAGTTATTCATCGAAATATTCTAAGATAATAGAATGCCACACGATTATTGTCCATGTGGATTGCTGTTAAGTCGAACTTCTACCGTTCGAACACTGAAGTCACCTAGCTTACGGTTATTCATATCCATTCGAACAATGAAATCGGTGTCTTGAAAGGCCAAGTTTGCAATGCTTGTCGCACTGCTTATTATAATTGGAAAAGTAAGAATACCGAGTTTGGTGATATTTTGTCTCGTATTGATGATGATTTGTTGGAAAATGTCGATATCGATGAAGACGCAAATTCGGTAAATAATAATCATTGTTGTGGTAGTAAAATACGATATATATTATTTGGTTGCTCACTAGAATGATGCAATGGATGTAAACCAACATAGTGTCGCTATTCAAACAGGTTCAGTAGATATTGATTTGAATCCAGTCGTTGTGAAAGAAACCATTTCATTACAAATGAATAGTACTCGATCTTGCCATACGTAAAAGAAATAAGTATATAATATTTAGGATTCTAACCGATTTATTTATGCATAGGATGTGTTGTGTCTGTCGGGCAAACATTGGTGGAGGAGCAATGACTGTTTCTTCAGAAGATCGTTATTTGTTGTTACTGAAGAAAAATGTTTTCATACCAGAAGGTGCAAGATGTTGTCCTGATCATGTGACAAATCGTCGTTTCAAATCAGAAGCAATGGATAAAATTGCACCGTACTCCATACAAATGAAAAAACTAAATGCTGTAGATGTCCAGCTTTAATTAAGCAAATGGCAGATGTTATATGAAAACAAAAAGCGGTTCGATTTCAATAATTCTTAATCAATGTCTGACGATGAATATCGAACTTTGACAAGTCTTTCGAAAGTCAATTCGATGATCGCTGGAATCAACTCTTCATATCAAAAAATGAAGTTTTTATTGAAATTTTGAAAATAGGGCAAAAAACTCGAAAAAAAGTTAAAAATTTTTCTAATCAAAAACTATGAATCCGGGAACGAAAAGCTATGTTGGGACATATACTCCGAAGTGTCTCCTACAAACTGGTGGAAAAAAACGGATGGGGGGATCTCCCCTTAAAATGACCAAAACAATCAATTTTTCTTTACTTGAACATAGACATAGGTACGATCGATAACAACTACTGCTGTGTCATTATCATTGCCACACATCAATTGCTTAGCAATATTAGTTGTATGTTGATCGATTATTTCACGACGAGAAATATGGCTAAAACCCAAGTTGTACGATACGAATT